TGTTTCTCAGTGCTTATACGCTAAAATCACGATTGGAATTTTCTGGAAAATGTCACATTACATGTCTCATGATCTCTCATTTATCTGAGACAAAATAATCTGCGATTCAAACTGTGTACTTTCTAGATTATTGCTAAAGTACTAGCTAGTAACCTTTATCGCCTTACCAAAATGTTGACAAACTACCTGTTCCCATATTCCAAAGATTAGCCAAAAAAACAGGTACTTGCATACTTTCCCACTGACCAATTTTAACAAACAAAAACTGTTGCTAAGTACAGTCAAAAGTCGTTAATTCGGGCACCCATAATCCGGACCTCAAAGCTACAAACTTTCTGCACATGCACGTAAGACCTTTACGGCTGCGGATATGCTTGTGCGCGTGCGCAAAATACTTTTACGAGTGCACGTTTAATGTATAACGGACCGTATAAGCTAAGCTAAAATTGTCTAATTATCTATTTCAGTTAATGCTGCAGATTGCGTTGTTCCTTAATCTTCGAATTGGATCCGGCTTATTATTTTTTGCAGACTGTTAGAGCAATTTTATAAAAGTAAGCTTGAACTTTCGATTATGTCAAATAGAATTTCTGATATATATTTATTAATATGTAAAGGATCTACAAAGAGAAAGAATATTTCGAAGTTCATTAAACGTCATCCTTTGTTTATCTTTAACACCACGCAATGAATTGGAAGTTGATCTGTCAGCACTATCCTTATCTTCAGGGAAGATGTTTTTATTTTATTTGGCTTATTATTCCTTACTAAATGTAATATTTCTTCTCGATGTACTCTGTCTTTGATATGATTTAAATCAAATTCCTTGTCATTATAATTCGCTTCCCATAGTGAAGAAAGTGACAGAGGTTATTGAAAACGAAAAAATTTCAATTGATAAATTAGTCGGTAGACACAGCAATTATAGGACTTGAACAGCGGAACTTTGTAACTGAACAAGAAATGATGTCTGTTTATAGAATTAAAGAGAATGTATTATCACATAAAAAACGAAGCAACTTAAACAACTTACATTGAAAGAAATGATTAATAAAGTAAACAAATAAATATTAAGCTTTTTTTTTTTTTTTGTAAATTTTGATACCCTTTAGATCATAATTGTTCTTTATTTCATAAATTACGGTTTCATATTTTTAATTTTATAACTTCTGCATGCCATCTGACCAGCTTTAAACTGATGATCTATAATCCGGAATCGCCGAAGTCCCGACGAGTCCGGATTAACAACTTTTGACTGTAGTTTGAACTGCACCAACAATGGATAAGTAGAATGTCTTAACATATCCGTGAGATCTCAGCCTCAGTTTTAAGTAATCCTGGTTAACCCATGAGAACCCAGTTTAAGTTTTGTAAAGAAGGATATAATTACAGTACAAAGTCTTTAATTTGAACATCCATAATCCGAAATGATCTATAATCCGGACCTCAAAGCTACAAACTTTCTGCGCATGCGCGTTTAATGTATAACGGATGGTAAAAGCTAGGCAAAAATTATCTAATTATCTATTTCAGTTAATGTTGCAGATTGCATTGTTCCTTAAACTTCTAATTGGATCTGGCTTATTATTTTTTGCGGACTGTTAGAGCAATTTTATAAAAAGTAAGCTTGAACTTTCGATTATGTCAAAAAGATTTTCCGTTTCTGGAGTTGCCAAAGGATCTACAAAGCAAAAGCATGTTTCGATGTCCATCAAACAAAAAGTGGAATTGCTGCAAAAAATGGATAAAGGCATGAAGTAAGTGAAAAAGAGGTTAGTGAAAATGAAAAAATTTCGATTGACAAGCGAGTCGGTATTCTCGGCACAGCAATTACAGGACTTGAACAGTGGAACTCTGTAACTGAACAAGAAATTATGTCTGCTTATAGAATTAAAGAGAAAATATTAGCACATAAAACAAAGCAACTTAAACAACTTACATTGAAAGAAATGTTTAATAAAGTAAACAAATATTAGGATTTTTTTTTTTTTTTTTTTTTTTTAATTTTTGTACCCTTTAGATGATAATTGCTCTTTATTTCGGAAATTACGGTTTCATATTTTGAATTTTATAATTTCTGCATGCCACCTTACCAGATTTAAATTGATGATCTATAATACGGAAAAAAACCCTAATCCGGAATCACCGAAGTCCTGATGACTCCAGATTAAAGACTTTGCTTTGTACTGTACTGCTTTTCTTAATTTTCCCCTCATATTATGAAAAGAAAAAAAAAAAAAAAAAAAAAAAAAGAGAGACATAGAAAGAGATATTAAAATTTGAGACCTGTCCTCTACAGAATACAATTTTCAAAATTACAAGATCCTGACATTAAAAAAAAATAAAATTAAAAATTAAAAAGGGAGTAGCATGATAGTTTATTTGAAAATATATAACAATGATAATGAATTGAACTCATATTGGTTAATCTTTGTATTATGGTAATTTAGCGATTTTTTGGCAACCAACTGTGCTACAGCAACTCTCTATTTTTTTTTTCGCCGCCATTTTGTCTTCACGAAGTAAAGACATGTTTCTTTTCATTTACTGAACACTTTTTCCAACAATCTGCTATCCGGATTACACTTATGCTAGAAATTTTATGGAACAAAACTGCTTAATCATGACAAATATTAACTGCCAAAATTGGGAAAAAGTGCAGAATCGCAAACTCCTTGCCGCGTTTTTCAGAATCGCACATACACATAAACCATGTACACGTCAACTTATTTTTACTTAAAAAAAATCCCAGAATTGCACAAAAATGGCATTGCACACACTCTTAACTTTATCCATCTACACTGCTATTTTCTCATAAATTACAAAAATTTGCACGAAAATTAAGGAAAATTTTGTGAATCTTTAAACTCGGTAAAAAGCACATATATGAAATTACCTGATCGCGAAAAAGTATATACCCTTTCCAAGGATGAACATTTCCACGTATAAAATAAATAAAATATCCAAAAACTTTTACCTCTAAATTATCTATTATATTATAAACGTCACCAACGAATTTATACCGCAAACATTAAAAATGGTTACAAATACTTAGTGTCAAATATTTAAATTATTTCCATGCACGTTTACTTCAACTGAAACGTATACCAAATTGCTACAAACATAAAATTCACAAAATAACTATCATTTAATTAAAATATAACTAAACCATGTACACGTTGACTTATTTTTACTTAAAAAAACATCCCAGAATTGCACAAAAATGGCATTGCGCACACTCTTCACTATATCCATGTACACTGCTTTTTTCTCATAAATTAGAAAAATTTCACAAAAATGCATGAAAATTTGTGAATCTTTAAATCCAGTAAAAAGAACATATATGAAATTACCTGATCGCGAAAAAGTATATACCCTTTCCAAGGATGAACATTTGCACGTATAAAATAAATAAAATATCCAAAGCCTTTTACCTCTAAATTATCTATTATAAACGTCACCAACAAATTCATAACCCAAACATTAAAAATGGTTGTAAATACTTAGTGTCAAATACTTAAGTTATTGCCATGCACGTTTACTTCCACTGAAACGTATACCAAATTCCTACAAACATATAATTCACAAAATCACTATCATTTAATTAAAATATAATTAAATTAAAAAAACACTACTTAAAATATAAATAAGCACATACATTAAATTAATAAAAATTAGCTTACAATCCTAATTACTTTAAACTAAATCATCGCTAATAACAATTTTCCAATAATACCATATTACTTTATTTACTCCTTACATTTAGAACAATGCATAAAAATAATATCCTCAAATAATTAAAAATACTAACTTACCTAATCTTCTTCAGAATCTTGATTACATGGCGGATAAACTTTTCTTATAGATTAAATAATCCAGTAGTCAACTGGCATTCTATTCACCCACTAATAAGAAATTAATAAAATTTTCCCCATACTCAGACTTTCAGCAAACCACGTACCCTTCCTTACACTCCGTTTCACAAAATGTCCATTTTCACCAGATTTCTTTCACCGCCATTCAAACTTATCTGTAATATCCTTCCTTTCACACAATCTCATTTCATTCCCACATGTTGGACATTCATACTTATCCGCAATTAATCCTACACTCATACACCATTCAACCAATTCTTTTGAATTATCAGATAAACACATTAAAAATTTAGAATTCACTTTAGATAGCGCCATGCAATCCAAAAATTAATCAACACTCTTTCACACAACACACAATGAAGCTTAATACAAAATAATATAGTACTACAGATATTTTTCCAAATTTAGCCCCTTTTCCGATTAAAGAACTGTAATTCGTCCATTAATGTCACATGACATATCTCATGATCTCTCATTTCCTTCACACAAAATAATGCGTAATCGGAACTGAGTACTCGTTACATTATTCCCAAAGTCCTAGGTAGTAACCTTTATCGCCTCCAAACTACCTGTTACCATATTCCAAAGATTAGCCTTCATATTTTTTTATACAATAGTTACAGATTACCTAACTATATAAAAGAACAGATTGTTTTTTCAAACTTCTGCTAGAGCTCTTGTGATCTCCACCAGCTTCCTTGGCAGTAAACGTTTACAATTGAGTGCCCCTTGTTTTTTGGCAATTCTTTTTTGACGCCAAGATCGGCACCAGGAAGACACAATTTCAAGATGGCCGCTACACAAAACCAAAATAAAAAGTCAAAGAATTGCATAAACTCTGTGTCCATGTACACATAGATCTGTTTTCACTTAAAAAAAATCCCAGAATTGCATAAACTAGGCATAGCGCACTGCTTTAAATTTGTCCATGTTCACAACAATCTATTTTTATTAAAAAAAAAACAGGAGGCTAAAGCAAAGTTACACTATCATGGTAACCAGAAATGAGATTTCATCGCCAACATTTTACAAAAAATTGTCGCTAATCGATGGGGCACCCAATTCTACACTAGAGCTGGGCCAATGGGAAAAAAAAAAAAAAAAAAAAAAAAATACAATATTTACCTTATCACATTTCTGGAAATTTGTAGAAGGCAAATGTAAAACTGGTTTTTGGAGTTTTGGCATTGGCATTTTATTTTTATCTACAGCATTTTCCTCCTCGGCATTAGGTAAATCTTGATCTTTAGCAGCCTCATTCATAAAACATATTTGTAGATTGCCACTTCCTTTTAATCGATCAAAAGAACTACCATTTTCTCTATGTTGATTAAGTTTTTCTGAGATATAATCCTCAGTATCAGAGTCCATTGCAAGTTTTCTTCTAATTTCTTCTCTGTCATTTCGCCTCTATAAAAATATATTAAAATTTTACTCAACAGCATTAATAATATAACAGCATAAATAAATAACAAATAAAAAGCACAATAAAATAACAGCATTTTATTAAATGAGAGAAAATGAATTGTATAGCTACAAACGTGTGTCTAAGTTACAATGAACAGAGCTAAACAATAGAATAAAATAAGAAAAATTCGAAGGCTATGCTAAAATAATTATTTATACTTTTTCAGAATTCTAAACCAATGAATATATTAATAATTTACTACTTCTCGCAAAAGCAATTTTGAAAAATTACACAAATTCAGAATGACAAGAAACTATTTTTTAAAGATTCACAAAAGTACGAACTAATTTCTGTTTTCATATCTAAAGAACTTCTAAAACTCAATAAAGCAAATGCATACGTAGTACGATATTTCGAAGCAAAATAGCATCTACTTTTATATCGAATTAAGGCATCAACAAACTGCAAATGACACTATAGATAGCTTCAAACAGTTGAAATAATAAAATGATAATCGTACATACAAACCTCCCCGTCAAAAGAATAACCAAACATGTCGTCATCATCATCGATAGTCAATATGCCGAATTCTTTATCACATTCTAAACATGGATCTATTTCTATTTCATGAGGATAATTATCCTCTTTTAAAAATTTTAATGACTCAAATTCCGGCTTTTTTCTTTCATTACGATTTGGAATCTTTTCCTGACGTAAATTAGGTAAATTAGATAAAAGATTTCTGCCAGCAGAATTGAATTTTTGGAATGCATCGCCAACTTTATTTTTCCATGCATCCATGTTACTCGCAAAATGTAGAGACGATAATTTTCACTCTGTAGTACAAATCAGGGCATAACTTGACCGACAGCAGGTCACACCTACACAACGCCCAGGTTTAATAAATAAAAATAAACAAAGCAACTACATTAAGAGGTTATTCTATAGAAGCACGAGTTTTCGGTTTACAGGTTTTTAAACTGCGGAAACGGAAACTTGAAATAGGTTGGTACAGTTACAGTGATGAATGCTGCATGAAGATTATTGCATTCTTCGGCCCTTTTTTTTTAATGGAAAATTTATTTAGATATGAATGTTTCGTGAAATTATTTTTCATTTAAAATTTTTAAAAACTCTGAAAGGTTTCAGATTTAAAATTACATCTAAATCGGCGTTTTCTACTATTTTGTGTGCTACCTTTATTTATCAAATAGCATGTTCTTCGCACTTAAACCATAAAATTTAGTTCAAGAGCAATATGCAAAAAAATTTTAAAATGAGTATATCTTTAGAATTTCCGATACACAGTCTCCCGCGTTGGAGATAAAAATGTTTTTTTCCTGTACAACGTTGCCATTGCTCACTTTGAAGTCCTTGAGTTTGATAATCCAAAATTCGTTAAGTTTTATAAAATATGAAATCGATAATAAAACAAATTCCAAATTTGGGCTTCCAGATACTCATATTCACAGTAGGATTACGCTATTCAAAATTTGATGGCTTTACGTACCGTTGTTTTATCACAATGCGAGGAACATACATGCATTTACACAGCTTCATTATTTAATTTCTTTAAATATAATACAAGGCGATCATACTTAGTGCCAATAATTTGAAAAGTGAAACAACGCTTGTAGCGACCAGTGGCGGCTCGTGGCTAAAATTAGTGGGGGTGCTGTTCCAAAAAAATTTAACCTTTGTTTTAAAATTGTCTGAAAGGAAACAAACATATATACACATTCATTTTGAAACATCAGGAAATCTTACAATAAAAAAATTAAGCATTTCTTAATTACTTTAACCAAAATTTTTACAGTTCACTCTTTGTCTATTCATTTAAAAATGAAATTCATTCTTCTTGTTTTACTTTGCCCGAAACAATCAATAATTTTCTCCTTGATCTCTGGATGACAACTGAGGAAATTTTTCTTTATTGAAAGCAATGCAAGCGCATTTAGTCTTTCCGAATTCTAGTGCTTCATAGAACAGTTTTCATTCTTTTCAATGTTGAAAACCAGCGTACTGCCTCTGATGTAGTCATGGGAACTCTCAAGAGAATTTTTTTCAGTTTCGTAATTTCACTAAGAACATCATCTAGATTATTTTCGAAGATAAATTTCAGCAGCTCATTTAATTTGTAGTATTCATGGATATCAGACCTACAATAGAATACTTTTAGTTCAGTTTCAAGCTTTCCTTTGTCAATCATTGGATATGCTTCAGCGGTCAGTACTATTTATTCTGAAGAATGTTCATTCTTAAAATTGGCGAAGCATTTCTTGTTTAACAATTTAGAAGCTGCTAAGTGTTTAGTCGAAGAATATCTCTGCATTATATCAATACATAGTATAAAGTCACATATTTCCTTCTTCTATTCTTCTGCCATCGGTGTCTTTGGAAAATTCTCACAGTACTTTGAGTTTCTTAATTCTAAGATAGCAGTTTTGGAATTTGTTATATATTCGTTAACTTTAAACACACTAATTTCTCTGAATTGCATTTGATTGTATATTATTTCAACATGAGGCATCGGATAAAAAAGCTGTAACCAAAACTTGATATTATCATCATTTAGATATTTTAAATTCCTATTGCATTTGCAATAGGAACAGTTGTTTCGTTTGTTGATGTTCTGCATTTGATGTTGATTGAATTTCACTAAGGCAATTTTTTAAAAGGTTGCAAATTTTCATGAACTCTGTTTATGGTCTGTATGATGAAGTTCCACCTTGTGGAGGAATACCACACGCGCGGAATAAAAAGAAATCACTTTACGAGCAAACAACGATTAATTAAAACCAACTGCAATTCAAATGGATACTCTTTGTCAAAAAGGAGCGGTAGAACTTATTTTAAACATTCAGCAATAAATAGTTTTCTGAATATATATTTTAGCGTAACGGCAGTTTCAAACATAATAAAGAGAACAACATTCATTCTAATGAGGATAATTTTGAAAATAATTCACATTAAAATATATCTCAAAGAGATTTTTAAATGAAAAGATGACACAAAAGAATTATTCTCAAAAAATACATGTTATCTCAGATATAGAAGAAATTTGGCATTGAGCTGAATATTGAAATTAATAACATGCCAGAATTTCGGCACTGCAAGAGCGAGTGCTGTTCTCTTTGCCCGGCTCGCGTGCTGCTTTCTGTGTGCGCTTGCGCAGGACAGCCAAACACCACATCGCTGGAACTGTGAAGCGCGCAGTTCCAAAGACTTTTCGTACCTTTTTGACACAGTGGGGGATGGCTACTGACATAAAGCTTAAGGATTATGTATTGTAAAAGTATAAAGAAAGAATTAAAGACTGAAGGGCACACTATATTAAATATTAAAAATAATAATAAGTGGAAATTGGGGGTGCTGCAGTTCCACAGTGCTTATTACGAGCTGCCACTGGTAGCGACTCAACGCAAAATGCAAAAACGAAATTAATAGACGTTCTGGGCAAATTGGCCCTTTGGACTCATAACAAATAATAATAATAATAATAAATCAGAAAGCCTTCAAATTTTATATTATGCCCAAAGGGGCGTTTTTTTAACGTTTTGTGCGTTACTTTTATTTATTAAATATAACGTTCTTCGCACTTAAACCATAAAATTCAATTCAACACAGTATCACAAAATATTAATGAAGCATATCTTTAGAATTTCTGATACAGAGTCTAGCGCGCTGAAGATATTTTTTTTTCCCGTATAGGGCTGCCATTGCTCGTTTTGAAATCTTTAAGTTTCTTAATCAAAAACTCATAAATGCTTTATAAAATATGAAAAGAGGTAATAAAACAAATCCCAAATTCGGGCTTCCAGAAGCCTATATTCGGGTGGAAACATACGTTATTCAAAATTTGACGGCTTTAGGTAGCGTTGTTTTATCACACTGCGAGAAACACACATACATTTATCCATATTCTTCATTATTTAATTTCTTTAAATAAAATACAGGGCTCTAATATTTGGTGGCAACAATTTAAAAAAGTGATTCGCTGTTTATAGTGAATCAATACAAAATGTCAAAACGAAATTATTAGCTCTTCTGGCCAAATTGCCCCCTTTGGGCTAATTATAATCATTATCAATTTTTTTCAATAGTATATGAACTATAGTTTAAAAGAAAAACTGGATTTGTAAAATGTCTAATTAGAAAATTTTCTGTTGTTGTTTTATAAAGAAATACACTTTGACAGACTTAAAACTTTTTAAAATTTTTATTAAAAGCAAACGCTTAAAATTTAAATGGTTCCTTATATTTGTTTTAATCTAGTTGACACAATTTAATTATATTTATTATATTATTATTTCCATTTTATAAGTATCTTCGTTAAATTTTTAAACTTCTCTAAGTATACTTCTTAATAGTTTAAAAAAATAGAAATTAAAAAATAAAAATGCAAAAAAACGTATTTCAATCTGAAAAATGGTAAATGGTAATATTTTCACCTAAAAATTCTTTGGATTCCGCAAAGTGGTGAAATTAGTTAACGTTTTACTCTTCTACCTGCATCTAAATCCCAATGGAACAAAAATGAAAGAGGATAATTTTTAAGTAAGTAACAGATTATAAGCAATATTTATTACTTTCACTATGAGTATACTACATTACAAAATTCGTACATTATACTTAATTTTTTGGCTGAGTTTTACTTCAACTGAAAATGAGATTTTAAGATTTAAAACGTTTATATGGTTCGCTTCGCTTCCACTTCATAGAAAACATTTTGCAAACCAATGTAGATGGCACTGCCTACTGTTCATGTTTATCTTTTCCTTCTTTCTTCATACCTCTTTCATACCCAAACTAAAATCCAACATTGAAACATTTAAAAATAGATCAGGAGTAAACTAACAAAAATTAACAGAAATCAAGTTTTTGTAACAAGCGAAAAATAACGTTTGTACGTTTTGAAAGTACTCAAAAGTAAGCTGAGGGTCCCACATGCACAGCACTACTACATTACCGTGATGTTAAATTTATAATATATATTATATAC